CTAGTGTCTGCACCCTTCCAGGCTGGCGCAGTGACACCGCTACATACAGATATAATGTCACCACTCTACTCTAACTCTTCTGATTATATATCCAAGGATTGTGTTTGACCTCTTGGCTACAATTTTATCCTGGGAGCTCATGTTCAGCTCCTTAAAAAGTGTCTCATTAGTTAAGGGCACTTTCCCTCTGTGCAGACGCAGCCTTTGAGAGGGAGGGAGAGGTCTGGAAGATGCTCCTTGAAAATTCAAGGCATGTGTCCAGAGCGAAACATGTTTGGTCGTTCATAGAGCATCAAGGAGAAAGACACCGGGAGTGCGTCCTGCAGCTTTGTCCCTCCAGGCCCTAATTGGATCATTGATGAATCACGGCAGGCCTCGGGGCGGTTAGTCATACGGAGGAGCTGCAGAAATAGCGAATGGGTGGATTTGTGCCAACCATGTCCCCTCCTGGGCAAGATGGCAAGAGCTCCAGCTCTGCATGAGGAAGGTTTTCATGACTGCGATGGCCAGCTACCTGGGCTCCATCACAGCATCCCAGCCTGGGATCTTCAACGGGTGGGTTCATCTCTTCTGTCCTTCCTGAATCCTACAGCATCTGCTGTTTGCGTTCAGGAGGATCAGGGTGCTCTTTCTTTTCCATCCCAGTGACAGTGGTATCCTTTCAGACCTGTTTTCCAACACCCACTGGGTCTCCTTTGCTGCCTCAGATACAGGAAAGGCCAGATGCATGGCTGACCTCCTCTGCCTGTGGTATCAGTAAATGATCCCGTCAGACCAGGAGCCAGGGGGCATGTCTCTGGGTTCCCAGTTCAGCGACAGCCTGTGAGAAGAGAGCAGCAAGGAGCCGGCAGCATCCTGGGGCCCTGGCAGTCCCCTGATGGGCAGGACCCGTCTGTTGTGAATCTGAAGAGGCTGAGATGGGGGCACTTTGGGTTTTGCTCATGAGTGATCCTGGAGTAAGGCTTCACCCGTGGCACTGGGTAAAGATCTCGAATCCAAGCCTTTATCATTGAGGGGGGGATGTTCAGAGTCTGGATCCAGCTTGGTCGCGTGGTCCCTATTACTCGCGTACATCAGACTAAGCTCCCACCATGCCTCTCCTCTTCCTGGACCCATCTGGTCTTGGACTGAATCGAGTGCCCAAATGCTTCCCCTCTGGAGAGGCGACTCGGGGGAGACGCCCCTGTCTACCTCTGCAGATTTGATGTGGTGCAGGTAGCCACGGTCTCCCCACTCCCTTGGCATTACAAGCCATTAGCCCTAATCCAGCGGGACTCTCGGAGCATGCGTGTCCGGAGGGGAGAACATCTCCTTTGATGCAGAAGCCAGTGGCAAAGAAGACTGTCATTTCCCAAAGCAGATGATGACTCCTCTCTCAAGGCCTGAGTGTGCTGTGTGCTTCGGAAAGATGCCAGACTATTGCCTGAAAAGAGAAAACGTTTGTTGCTGTTGTTCCTATTAAAATGACGGCCCCTCGGGCTGGAATCCAAGTATTTGAGTCATGTGCGGGGAGTGGTTTTAGATTGAGGTTTGTCTTCCTGCACATCCATCCATCACATGGAGTCCTTGTGCCCCACGTACCATTGAGTGCTGTGTGTGGTGCTGCGCGACCAGGGCCGTCCCTGTGCCTCCTGCCCTATGCCAGTCATCTAGGCCGGTGTTTCTATCCAGGTTTCCTGGTGCAAAGAGGCTCCATGTCCCCAGTGTTAAATGAAGGCTTGCGAGTGGTTCGCTGTGCTGATCTGGGCTGAAGGCGGCTCCTGTTCAAGATGGGGCATTTGAGCCTTACAGGGCAGGATTCATGGGCTGACCTGAGCTGTTGTGATGGGGTAGAGAGTAGCCAGGCAGGCGAGCAGAAGGGAGCTAGGAAGCGGGACCTTAGTGCTGTCTGCGGGAACCACAGCCAGGCTCGGGGACGAAAGCAGTGAGCAGGGATTTGCACACCCGCTGCAGTCGCTGGCCATCCAGCTCCATCCCTCCCAGCCTGGGGGCCCCAAGACAAGGATGCACTCGCTCCAAAATGCCAGTGCGGTGCTCATGGGAGCAGGACTTGTTCCCAGTCTGTCCTCTAACATCCATTACAAATCCCTGCCGCAGTGCCGGGGCCTCCCCTTGCCCCACGCCACGCGGTGGGTCGTCAGCCCTTTGTGCTTTCTAGCTATGAACTTGCCTTTGCCGTGTAAGTCTCAGCCAAACGGTCAGTGCCGTGACTTGTCCTGACCATTTTGTGTCCTCCCCAGGAGCAGAACGGAGACAGCCACCACATGGGTGACCTGAAGCTGGCGGGAAAGGACTTCTTGCCCCTGCCTGTGAGATCCAAGAGGTACCGGGAGAACCAGCCCGGTTCGGAGAGGAAATCCCAGGAGTCCAGCACGTCCCCCCTGGATACCAGAGATGTCCGAGTCCACGTGTCTCAGTCGGTAGGAAGATTTCCCTTGTGCTTTCTTCCCCCAACCCCGCGCAAGCTCTGAAAAGGCTGTTTGTTATACAGTGTTGGGGTTTTTTTTAATACGATGAAGCAGGAAGGCCACGTGCTCTAGTGGCTTTCCTGTTCCTGCTTTTGGGTGACTTTGGGCAAGTTGCTTCAACTCCATCCTTCCCTTTACTATCTGTAACTTGGCACGAACGATTCCAGCTGCTTCCAAGTACAACTAGTGGGAAAGACTGTGCTGCTTGGTTTCCATGTACTTCTCTTTACTACAGAGGAGCACCAGTTTGGCCTGAAATATCTTCCATGCCGGGGAGGGGAGGAGGAGGTTAAGAGGTGAAGCTGCGAGTGCTTATTGCTTTTAGGTGCTTCCCTTGGGCTTGTACCTTACTACACCCCATGATGCTTGGTGGGGAGGGTGCTCTCCGAGGCTTCAGAGAATCCCGACCTGTTCAAATGCCTTCCAATAAGCCGACAAAATCATTAGTGTCTTTTGGAAAATCTCAACCCCGATTTATGCTCTAGAGGCATCACACCTCGTGTTCTCTCCAGATCCCACCGGGGTGGCACTTGGGGGGTCCTGGAAGGAGCCGGGTACACCCTGTGCTCCAGGGGGAATGGCTGGGATCTTCTCCCTGAGAGCTGAGTAGTGATGCTAATAGCATGGGTACCGCAGAGCTGGCAAAAGGTGCTCCGTTTGGGGTTGAAACGAGTGGCACCTGCCGTGCTGAATGATGGAGCGCTCTGGCAGCGACAGCACCGGGCGCCAGGCAGGGACCGAGTGCTTGGCCCTGGCAGAGCCGGGCTGGGAAACCCTGCGTGTCTCTTCAGCACGTCTTGGCCCGTGACAGCGAAGCTACTTGTGAGTCAGCCGCTTTGTGCCGGCGTCGACGCGCCCATGCTGCCAGCGAGGCTTCCTGCAGCTGTGCTGGTTTTGTTTTCAGGGCCGGAGACAGGTATCACACCCACAAACAATTGCATGTTCCTCGTGGCAGGCGAGGGGGCTGCGATGCTTTAACTCGGCGGTCTCGGATGAGGGGCTCTGCCCCCGAGGCGTGTTATTACATGCTCTGGGTGACAGCTATGGTCTCAGAGCGGTTCCGGCACGAGGCGTGCTCTGGCTGTCCCGTGACTAAGTGTGACAGGGAGAGGCTGGGATCCAGATGGTGGCAGGACCTAGTTATCTGGATGCCAGAGAACAGTTCCTGGGGCCTGAATTTTCCTTCCTCCCCCTGGTACGAGGCATTGATGGGTCTGAAGTATACATTTGAGATCCAGATTCACTGGCTCCCTGCAGTTTGGGGCACCTGGATCTGTCGCCGGCCTGGGCTCTGGACTCGTGGCTGTCTGGTGCCTTGTCCAGCACACACACGGCAGACAGAGCCGCTGCACCCACCAGACCTCAGCTCGCCCTGGGGAAGTCCTTTCCCCAAGCTGCCGTCCCGCTCCTGGGCCTCCCCTTCCCACGGTGGGGAGCACTCGGCTCTGCGTCGCGGTGCACAGCTGAGTGCCGAGCAGGGAAACGAGGCTCGGGGAGCCGAGGAGGAGGTGGTAGCAGAGAGAACACAAAGGCAGAGAAAACACTTCTGCCAGAAATAGGCTTGTATTTTTAACAGCCGCGTTGAGCCAGAAACTGAACAAAAGCCCAGTTTCAGCAAGGCAGGCAGCACTTCCAGCTCGCCACTGACCACGGGAATACGACAGCAAAGGAATAAGCCGTGTCCGTTAGAAAGCCCACGCTGGGCATTGCCGCCCAGCCAGGACCTCGGGGAGACCTCGGTGCAAGGCCAGTTCCCTCGATTGCCCCGAGGTGATGCTGGTGCTTTGCACCATAGAAAACGAGCTGCTGCCCGAGGACCTCTCTGTGCCAAGTGTTAGAAGCTGTACCAAGCGGGTTACCCCGGAGTAATTCCCTGGGCAACATGGTGTCTGCTGAAAGTGCTTTGCCTAAAAAATGGTTCCAGAGCAGCTCCTTCTCTGGGTTTCCAAGTGCAGACAAGGCGATGTGTTCCCGGGCTCCGGCCCTGCATTGCACACACACGTGCCCATGCACGTGCTTCAGAGCCAGCAGGGCTGGTTCTTATCAGATCATTCGGCCCACTAGCAACGCTCCAGCAGCAGACGAGGGAATTGCTCCCATGCACAATGCACCTGCTAGCAAGAACCTCCTTGCCCTTCAGGACTGCCCTGCTCCCTCGTCTCGGCAAATACCATTTACAGGTGAGAGCACAAGGGACCTGGCGCAGGTCGGAACGAAGGCTTGCAGAGCCGGGCCGATGATGTATTTAGACGCTGTGCGGTATTGCTAAACGTTTCACAGGGCTTGTTATGGCAGCAAGAGGAAGCATGAACCCCAGGACTGGGAAAGCTTCAGCTTGTGCCTGTAGGCAGGTTTCATGGCTGTGCTCTTGCAAGTGCTTGTACGATCTTAGCAGAGTAGGCAGAGATGCAGTATGTCGGGCTGGGAGGTCATGGGTCAGAGTCACGCAGCTGGCCTTTCTCTGTGTACCACTGTCCCTTTGAAAAAGATGCTAGCTACCCCAAAAAGCCCCTTGGATTCAGAATGAGCACGTCCACATGAGGGGTTGCAAGGTCCCACTCGACTTGGTTAAATAAGTCTGTGCAGTGGTGCTGCTCACAATGGGCAGAGCGTTTCTGCAGAGGCAGCGAGGAGGAGCAGAAGGGGAAGAGACGCGGGGTTAGGATTCACAAAGGCTTAGCCGAACACGAAGGCCTGGACTGCTCTGCAGAGTGTTGCTGCCAAAAAAAGGCCATGCTTTCTAGCCACCGTAGCCATGCCGCCCAGCTCCCTGGGGCACTGGTGCTTTACTAGCAAGAGAGGCCTTGTGTCAGCTTGGCATACATCATTCGGGTCATGGTGCAGCTCCACGGGGGCCACCCTTTTGGGCAGACATGCCACAAGCGAAGTCCTACGCCCTCCCCGTGTGCCGCTCTGGCCCCCTTTCCCTGACCAATTTGCTGCTGCTCTGCTTTCTGCTTCTGAGTCGTAGACCTGCAGCACGAGTAGCAGAGCTGGAGCCAAGGCTGGTGTGTGCTCTCGATCCCTAACACCCGCCCATGCCATCTCCCACCACATCGTAAAGCAGGGACCGTGCGGGCAGGATGGGGACCTGAGGACTGACTCTTTGGTGCCGTGGGTCTCTGCGTTTGGGGAGAGCGAAAAGGAGCCTCCCTAGGAAGGAGGGTTTCACCTCGCGGTTCCCAGCCGTGTGCTGGTCCTACCAGGTCACCTGTAGACTTGCAGGGGGCAAGTGGCCCGTGCCGTGTCTGCAGACATTCAACAGGGGCTGGCAGGGGACTTTCCCCTTCCTTACAACAGCTTCGCTGCCAGGCGCAGGCAGCAGCTAGCACGGCCTGGCCCCCCTGGGTGCCGCAGCGCTGTTGGCATTTAGAAATGCCACAACAAATGTGTCCTCCTTGCAGGTGCTGATCTGTCTCTCTGTAGAGAGAGAATTGCACGCAGTTCTGGTACCGGTGTCACTGGTTCAGGGACAGACGTGCAACCCCAGTACAGCCCGGACACTTGGTGTCAATGGGCAGCAGAAGGGCTTTGCCCCCATCCCCTGGTACGCTGTCCCATCCTTCCCTGCTGTGGGATAACTGCCTCTGCGCTAGGGTGTTAGAGTAGTTTTGAAGCAAGGCAACTCATCTGTGTTGTCCATGCTGAGACCAGGACACAGGGCAGTCACGCCTGGTGATCCAGCACTTGGGGTAGGATCCATGCCTAGGTCCTGATGCTGAAGTCAAGGTGAGGAAGCCAGGGCGGGCATCCAAAATGAGCCAGAATCAGGAGTCGGGAGCGAGGGTTAGAGTCAAGGCAAAGTGCTGGCATCACAGCGGTCTGCAACCTCACCTCCGCCTACCTGGTTGGTTTTGAGGCTGCATTTGGAGCAGGATTGGCTTCCCGTCAGTGCAGCAGCCCACGATGGCTGCTGGAGGGATAGCCGAGTCCCATCGTGAACAGGAGCCAGGCGCTCGCCATCTCCCAGTCCTCAGGTGTTTCTCCTGGTGCCCGGCGGTGGTTGATCATCAGGGTGTTCTGAGACTGTGAAATGAGCCTCTGAAATCGCGTGGCTGAGGTCTGAGAGATGAGTTTTCCCCCCATTTGGGTCCGTGAAAATGGGCCTCCGCACGATCACTGCAGTAACACTAAGTAGGTAGGGTCCAAAGTGATGGAAAGTGGTGCTGGGGGTAGCTGAAGGGCTGTGCTTGCAAACCTGCCTGGGACCCGTTCCACCCGTCTCACTCGCCTGCCACGCCTGTCACCCTCAAACCTCTTGCCACCAATTTGAGCGGCCTCTTGCCATAGCTCGTCCACATAGACACAACCTGGAATAGCTATTATGCTTTAAATCCACGCCTCGGTAGGCACTTTCTGCCCTAGCGCGACCCATGACTGTGGCGATTGAGGCCCAGCTCTCAAGTACGGAGAAGGCAAGCGGCTGGACTCGGGACTCGCCAGGGAGGCGCGTGAACATCCGCCATTGGGGCAAGGGCGCTGCTTGCGAGTCTGCCTTGCTTGGTCTACTTGAAGGCCCACTGACTTGCAGGGCCCATGAATGGTACTTTGCGGTTTTAATGGAGAGCAAGGGCACACGTCAGCGGCTTTATGGAGCTTTCCCACCCAAAGGGAATTGCAGCAGGAGTGAGAGCTGAGCTCCAGCCTCATGAGGCTCCCTGATGTGCTGCAAGAGGGAGCAGCTTTCCCAGTTGAGTCAGGTGCAAACTAGTATCTTCATAATGACACCGGCACCTGCTGGGTTGCTCCCCGCACACGGAGAAGGCCTTGGCAGTGCTGTATCAGGTGCTGGTGCCAATAAAGTGTGCACAGGGGAGAGCGATGGCTCCTGGACACCTGCAAGTTATTAGCAGCTGCATTTGGTAGCCAGGATGTGCAGGGGAAGGACTTGCAGAGGGTGCCTGTGCTCACACCATACCTGGCCTGTTGGTCCTTGAAGGTCTGTTGGAAAA